TCTCTCAAATGAATAAAGAAAATATCTCAAAAATCTCTAAATAAAATCTTTTTTAAAAAGTATTTTTATATTTAATATAAATATTTAAAAATATTTAATAACAAATATTAATGTACACATATAGTAGATACATATGTACACATATTCATTGATTAAAACAATGATGATTTTTCTCTTTATTCATTTGAGAGAGAGAGAGCAAGCAGGGGTAGGGCAGAGGGAGAGGGAGAGAGAATCCCAAGCAGACTCTCCGCTGAGCAGGGAACCTGGCGCAGGGCTCTGTCTTAGGACACTGGAATCACGACCTGAGCCAAAACCAAGAGTCAGACGCTCAACAGACTGAGCCACGCAGGCACCCCATATTACTTTAATAATAGAGGGAATCCCTACTTTGTCATACTTTTGTGTTTTTTTTTAAAGATTTTATTTATTTATTTGAGAGAGAGAACAGAGCAAGAGAGAGAGGGAGAAGTAGGCTCTCTGCTTGAGCATCATTTCCTTCTACAAACTTAACTTCCCTTACCAAATGTCTCATTCATATTGATTATATGGATCTTAATTTTTAGAATCTCCTGAGTCTTAGAGTTAACCTCAGTTATTCTTTCCCTATCGTCCTCCACTTTTCTTTCTTTTTTTTTTTTAAGATTTATTTATTTATTTGAGAGAGAGAGAGGGAGAGAGGGAATCTTCAAGCAGGCTCCTCCCTGAATGCAAATCCCATCACACTCTATCTCATGACCCATGAGATCATGACCTGAGCCAAAATCAAGAGTTGGACGCTTAACCTACTGAGCCATCCAGGCACCCCTCATCCTCCACTTCACAAAGTTCTGTCAGTTCTTCATTTAAAATATATTTCAGATGGTGTTTTACATAAGATTTGTGTTGAAAGAAAGTGTTTTGCTGTAAAGTCTGTAAATACTGGTATAGCGGAAAGGGTTCAATCTCAGTTTACATCATAGCTTTGCTACTTTGGACAAATTAACTTTTCAGTGCATTAGTTTATTCTTTGAATGAAGGTAATAAAATCTTCATAGGATTGTTGTGGATTAAGGATAGCATGCAAATTGAATGACAATTAGTTCAATATATTAAAATTTTTTTTCTGACTTTCCTAAAGAGCAGAGATTGCCAAATACTCAATTTTTTGTCTTCTCAAGTAACTCCCCAACTTATAGAGGTGTTATAATTCCAACTGTGTATTTCTCACTTTTTATTGGTATTCCAGTTAAACATTCAATAATATTCTTTGGTCATTTTTGTACTTACCATCACCTATATAAACTGCTTATTTCTTAGTTATTACTGGGTCTCCTGCATTTCTCTACTCCCCTCAGAATATCAATATCATAGGTATCAAAATCTTGGCATATCATTTTTGGGATGTTTTGCATTCTTGTTTAAGATTTTATTAATACTTTACGTGGAAGATTTGTTTTTATTTTTTTTAATTTTTTAATTTTTTTAAATTAAAAAAATTTTTGATCTTGCTTGAGTCTATTCTCAAATACACTTCACTCTTCAGATGACTAAGAATTACAGAATAATTTGGCTGAATGAATGAGGTTTTACCGTATAGTTGAATATTTGGAGTAGCTATTTCCTTTTGTTAACTTAAATATTATTGCTGTGCTTACGTTATTAATTTGCTCAGGAAATCCAGTTAATTCAGTAAAATCTTAGTTCTAGGAGAGGACATAATTTATTTTCCTAGACTCTATTTGGACTCTTAATTTGGAGCTATGTATTACTATATACTAAGAAGCTTTGCTCATGTTTTAGGAAGAATATTTAAACTGCTTAAGAGAGTACCTTTCAACTACCTTTATATACATTAAAGTACTCATGTACTTAAGAACAATATGTTACAGATTATTACTAAAAGAAGACCACCTAAGAACCTAGGTCATACTTCATTTGAGTTTTTTCATTGTAAAATTTAAAAATTAGAGATTCAGACAAAATACCATACTTGTTAATTCTATATTCTTAGGTAGTTATTCCCTAACCTGTTTTTTCTTTTATAAAATCTAAAGAGACAAAGGAGTGAAAGTCATTGGATCATTAACAAAACCTTTGGCACTTGTTTTTGAGGTGATGGTGTAGAGGAAAGCAAAAAGAGAATCAAGCTTTCAGGAAGGTCATTTTGTGGTTTTTAAAAAAAAATCTGTTGACAGCTTCACAGTATTAGTGAGAAGTAGGCGTTCCTTCTCAATTATGTTTATTTGTCCTTAGTTTTAATGACTCTCTGGAATATGTTATTGGCTAGGATTCAGGAAATGAGTATTTCACTGAGTCTGCTTGTGAATAAGTCAGTTAAAATATTTGTATACTGTTGTCCCACTTCTTAATCAGTATAGAGGTGTCATTTTCTTTTTCAAATGTTTGAAACAACACATGGTAGGCAGTTGTTGTTATTTGGAAATTTCAAGGCTATACCCTGAAATCATGTTTGTAGAAATCTAGAATTATAGTATGTTTTTCCCAAGTACATATACTTGTTGGTGCCTTTGTTTCCTATTTTGACAGAAATGCCACAATTGACAATTCTGCTAATTCTTATTTTGACAATTTTGTAAGAGGATTGCTACTTTAAACAAAGCAGAGGATAAGCTATCTGTTTGTGGAATTTTCTGCTGAATATTATTCTGACTGGACCTGTCTGGAATAAAAGAATATATAGGTCTTGTTTAAGAAACATTGTTAGGTGTAAGTGGGACTTTTAGATTGTTCTGACAGTTATTCAGAATATAAACATTCACAATGAATATAAACTACTGGTTTAAATATCAGACTTTTAATAGTGCTACTGAAATAGCTTGATAAAATAGTCTATAGTGATAAAATATTCTATAGTAAACAGTTAAAATCATCTAACGCAGGGATCAACAAACTTTTCCCACAAAGGATCAGAGAATAAATATTTTAAGCTTTGTGGGCTCTTTGATCTCTCTTGGAAAGATTCAACTCTATTATCGTTGTGCAAAAACAGCCAAAACTATACATAAACAATGAGAGTGTTGCAATAAAACTTTATTTAGAAAAACAGGCAGGAGACCATAATTTACCAATGAATTTCAGTTTAAAAATATAGCATATATGGGAATTCTTTACTTTCTGCTCAATTTTCTGTAAACCTAAAGCTGCTTAAAAAAAAATCTATTAAAATTTTTTGAGAAATATGACACAGGAAAAAAAAACAATTTAGAATCAAATAATGATCAGAACCTCCGTGGCATCTCTTAGTTTTCACTGAGTGATAAATCCCCTGGATGACAAAATTGTAAGCATTAATTGTCATGTATGCTCTCAGAGGGTACCAAACTGTTCTGTTTTACAGAGATCTGTTTTGGAACTTATTTTATTCATTGATTAAAACAAAATATTGTGACATGCTATTACCACATTTGCTAACATAAACACCCAGAGCACCTTCTTCAACACTTGGAGGAATTGTTGGAAAAATTGATGATTTAAATGATTTCCTTGGTTGAACAGAAAATAATTCCCAAAAAATAACTCCTGGAGAATTTTAAATTACGTTACTCTTCTCCTGTCATTGATATTTAATTACTTTGAGTTTCCATCCTACAGTATTTATTTTTCTTCTATCCTGTGAATATACCACTCAGTATGCTTTTGAATAAGTCAGTTAAAATATTTATAACCGTTGGCTGTAATATCTGTGTAACTCATCTGACAATTCAATTGAAACATTAATGTAGACTAATGTGTGGCAGCTGAATTAATTTTAGAAACTTAAATATGATTGTAATGTATGTATCTACTTTTAACCTTTTTATTGTAAACTATAACACATAGAATACATAAAACAGAGATGTATAGTTTAACAAGTTATTGTAAAAAAAAAAAAAGTCAGTGAAACTACCATGCAAGTCCAGAAATAGAGCATTACCAGTGTCCCAGAGGCTCTTATTTTTTTTAAAGATTTATTTATTTATTTGAGAGAGTGGGCGAGCGAGCCCAGTGGGGAGGTAGAGAGGGAGAGAGAATCTGAGGTTGAGCACAGAGCCTGACGCAGGGTTCCATCCCACGACCCTGAGATGATGACCTTAGCTGAAACTAAGAGTTAGACACTCAATGAACTGTTCCCCCTCAGGGACCCCCAGAAGGCTCTTACATGCCTCTTTCCAACTATAACTCCTTCTTTTACCCCTAGGGCCAACCATATTGTGATTTTTATAGTATCCATTTCCTTACTTTTCATTATAATTTTGTCACCATGAGTGCAGCAGTAAACAATATAGTTTAATCTTGCCTGCTTTTAAACTTTGCAAGTGGAATCATACAGTGTGAATTCTTCAGTATATGACTAATACTTTATTTTTTTTAAAGATTTTATTTATTTGAGAGAGAGAGTAACAGCATGAGCAGGGGTAGGGGCAAAGGGAGAGGGAGAAGCAGACCCCCCACTAAGCAGGGAGCCCAACGTGGGGCTCAATCCCAGGATTCTGGGATTATGACCTGAGCCAAGGGCAGATGCTTAACTGAGCTACACAGGCACCCCTGACTAATACTTTAATACTGTATTCATTATAGTCATTCAGTAAAAATGGCCAAGGTAAACTGAAGTAATGGGATATTGAGCTATATTCAAACTTGTCTTCAGTAAAACTGCTCTGTGGGTGACCTGTCACATGTTTGGTGCCTCTTCCTGCCCTTCAACTGCTCTAACATGTAGGACATTGTTGGTAGTGCCTAGTGACAATTGTAGTCGGTGGTGAAAGGGGTAGCACTTGGTTTTGAAAACAGATTTCTCAATGTCTCTGTGAGATCTTATATCACCCTGTAAATTTTATGGTGATAAGATTGACTTTGCCATATTTTATAAAGATTAGTTATAAAGAATTTAATAACAAATATTAATGTATACATATAGTAGATACATATGTACACATACATACTTATGTTTCTGACTGAAGAAACACTTTAATTACCTGAAACATTTGATTTTATAGAAAAAATACTTTGTTTTTCAGGTGAAACTTCCACCGATGATGGAAATCATAACTGCTGAACAGCTGATGGAATATTTAGGTTAGTGTTGAAAAGTGGATGATTTTATATCTCTTTCAAAATAAAGTCTCCAAAGCAATATATTACCAAATCGCATCTTTCTGAAGTGCTATTATATAATCTACTTTAAAATTATAATTTTGAATCTCTTAATTAAAAATTTGTATCAGTATGTTACTGTTCTTGGGTGTTAAACCATTGAAAGCCTTTTCTAACCAGCGTTAAAATTCTATAATATAAATAAGGAGACTGATAACTTCCAGAAAAGAACAAGTTACATACTAATTCCTAATAAATTGCAGAACAGAAAATGGTACAGAAATTCTGACATTGCATGTAGAAAGTGTTAAAAAAAAAAAATATTGAGTAGACTGGATTTAAAGACCCAGGAGGTGATTTAGAGCATCACTATCCAAAGTATGATTCATGGACCTATACCAGTCTATGAAGTGTTAGTTACCAATCTGCAGTGATATAGGGGCTTGTGCCAAAATGTAAAACATTTACATAAGCACACTGGTTCATCTGAAATTTTTCATAGCAAAATTTTCTTGACGAAGGAGGCAGTGTCTTAAGTTGCATTCTTATGCAAGCTTCTTATTTCAAAACAGACTAGTAATACGCAGTTTGCAGACCAGCTGCTTTCAGTAGAACTTGTTTACAGAGCAGATAGCTGTATATCACACTGAGGTCTTTTACAATTTAACAAATAGGGATTTATATATTTATACTGTCACAAAATAGGAAATCTTAATCCACATTTTTAGTTTTTTTAGTAATTAAATGTTTATTTTAAGAAAAATAATTTTTTTTTTTTTGGTCAGCTGGTTAGTTTGTCTACGCCATTCCAGACTACAAGCTAACTGATTTTTAATGAAATAATAGGCTTAGTGAAGTAATGGAGATTGTAGCTTTTGGAAGACCCTTTTCTTTATGTAATTACAGTCATTTATTCCTATTCACTGGCTAGGGAAATCTCATAGTTAAGGGTAGATTACTTTGAATACCCATGTATCTGGAAATAGAATTTCTATTTATACCTCTTTTAGTCTAGCTTAGTGATTCTTAAACTTTGTGATTTCTAAATTATGTTTCATAATTGGGAACATAATTGGGAATTATGTTTCATGGGGAAGGCTGAAATATGCTTGGTGCTTTTGATGAATAGCCAGTATGACTTCCAAGAAGTGTGCAAAGGAGATGACATTTGAGAGGTAATGGGGTCAGGTCATATCGGGCCCTGTATGTAGGCTATTATAGCCTGATGTTTGCTGTGAGTGAGCTTGGAAGCCGTTAGAGGATTTGAACAGAGGACTGATGTGATCTGACTTTGAGTGTAACAAGAATTCTCTGGCCGAAATTAGAATTTAGGAAGGAAAGGACAAGCAGGGATATCAGGAAGCTATTACAACAAAAGATGCTATTACAAACCGGCAAAAGATGGTGGTGGCTTCAAACAAGGTAGTAGAAGTGGAGATTGTAAAATGTGGTCAGATTCTGGATATAGAGCTGACAGAATTTGCTGATCAGTTGAATGTAGAGTGAGAGTGGTTCACCCCCTGGTTTTTGGCTTGCACAACTGGAAGGATGGCGTTAACATCAGCCGAAACAGGGAAAAAAAAATGGAAGGAACATGTTTAGGGAGGAATAACAGGATTTTGGTTTTGGGATGTTTATTGACATCCAAGTGGAAATTTCAGGATGGCCGTTGGATATATAAATCTAGAGTTCAGAGGAGAGGTCTAGATCAGTGCTGTACAATAGAAATTTCTGTGATAGAAATGTTTAATAACTCTGCTATCTAGTTTGGTAGCTACTAGCAACATGTGGCTCTTGAGCTCTTAACATATAGCTAATGTGCCTGGGGACCTGAATATTAAATTTAGTTTTAATTAATTAAAGTTATATAGCCATATGTTGCTACTGGCTAATGTATTCGGCAATGCAGACCTAGCCTAGAAATATACATTTGGGAGCAGACAACATATATAAATGGTAGACTGAGTGAAATCACAACGAGAATGAATGTAGATAGAGAAGGGGAAAGATCAATGGACTGAATGTGAGACATGCCAACGATTAGAAGTTGTGGAAGAAGGAAGAACAGGTATGTTCAAGCCAGGTAGAAGAAAAACAGGAGACTGATTTCCTAGAATCCAAATGAAGTTTCAATGAAAAGTGGAGATTAACTGAACCAAATGCTGCTAATAGGTCAAGCAGCATGAAGACTAAAAATTGACTATTGATTGAACCATAGGAGGTCACTGGTAACCACTTCAACAAGTGCATGGGAGGAAACCAGACAGGGTGGGTACAAGAGAAAATTGGAAACCTTTATACATAGCCAATAGCAATGTAACCTAACATAGCCACTTTGGAAAATAGTTTGTCAGTTCCTTAAAAAGTTAAACTTAGTATGACCCATAATTTCACCCAAGGGAATTTGTAAAAACACACATCCATACAGAAACTTTTTTATTCTTTTTTTTTTTTTTAAAGATTTTATTTATTTATTTGACAGAGAGAGACACAGCAAGAGAGGGAACACAAGCAGAGGGAGTAGGAGAGGGAGAAGCAGGCTTCCCGCTGAGCAGGGAGCCAGATGCGGGGCTAGATCCCAGGACCCTGGAATCATGCCTGAGCCGAAGGCAGACGCTTAACGACTGAGCCACCCAGGCGCCCCAAAACTTTTTTATTCTTAATAACCAAAAAAATGGAAACAACTCAAATGTCCATCCACTGATGAGTGGATAAACAAAATGTGATATATCCGTACAGTGAAATATTGACCACAAAGAGGAATGTACTGATACACACTTTAATGTGGATAAAACTTAGACATTATGCTAAGTTAAAGAGGTCAAGTCACAAAAGACCACATATTTTATGATCCCATTTATAGAGACAGAAAGTAAAATAGTGGTTGCTTGGGACTGGTGAAGAGGATAAGGGGGCAAATAGGGATTGACTGCTAATGGGTACAGAATTTCATTTGGGGGGACAGAAATGTTCTAAAATTAAATCATGATGATTTCATAATCCTGTTAACATACTTTCAAAATACTGAATTGTATACTTTAAATGGATTTATTGTATGATATCTGAATTACGTCTCAGAGCTATTTAAAAAAAGAAAACTGGAGGAAAGAAATTGAAAAGAGTACTTTTGACAAATAGAAGAATTAGTCTTAGATAGTATATAGATAGCTCATCGGTAGCAATAAGAGGTGAGACAGAATGTATTAAAAATAGATGCAGGTAGGTGGGTAGATGTGGTTGTGGTAGCTTGTAGAAGGTCTTTTGAGTACTTTTATTTTCTCAGTGAAATAGGGAACCAGATCATCAGCTGAGAGTGAGAATGAAGAAGGAGTTGTTGGATGTGAGAGGGAAGGTATGCAATAGTTGCCTGTAGAAGAGTAGGAGAGTGGATGGGAGACGTGATATGTTCCTGGGCATTACCTCTGAAGTGAGTGAGAGCAGCGAGCATGGTGGTATGATTTCTCCAGTCACATTTAGCTGCGTGAGTATAGGCCTACATAGTGGGGGGGAGAGGGGGGTAGGATTTAACCAGAGTTGGGTTTTTGCCAAGTGAATAGGTTGAAGAAAGAGTCTAGAGAATTGAAGATGTGTGTCGAGAGTGATTATAATGACGGACCAAGGATTTGAGTTGCATTAAGAGGAAACAAAGATATAAATGTGCTGAAAAAAATAAATGTGATGGAGTTAAAGGACTGTAGGGGTTCTGATGGAGCTTTAGAATTTTTGGAGCCTGGTAATGACAAAGCTGTATGACCATGGGGAATGAGTTTCTAGGGTAAGGTAGAATATAAGATTCTTGTTGAAGAGATCAAGGAAGAGAAAGCTAGGTTATTGGATGGATTATCTCTATTAATATTGGAATTACCAAAAAATTATGTTAGGATTTGTGTTCAAGCGAGGTAGTAAGCTAGGAATGAGAAGGATTGACCTGGAAGTTAATAGAGGACTGCAACCAGGTGGGTGGATGATGGGTAGTATTATTCGATGGTATGAGTTTTAAAACTGAGGAGTTTTAGGGAGGAAGGGGAGAGAGAATGACAACATGACAATAGGGAGCAAGTAGATATCTGCTCCACCTCCAGGCTCACTGGTAAAGAAGCATGAGAGAGAACTGTCACTTGAGAAGGCTGCAGTGTCATTAAGGCAGAGCCAAATTTCATTTAGGCATGAAGGTGAAGGGAACATTAAGAGAAGAATATACCTGGAAGATTTTGCTCAGGAGGGTCCATGAGTTCCAGCGGACACTGAAATTCAAGATAAGAATTTAGGAGTCATCAGTATAAAAATGGCATTTAAATCTGTGGAAATTAATGAGAGCATTAAGAGAGACAGCATAAAGAGAGAAGAGAAGAGGGTCAGGATTGTCCCCTGAAGTTTCCCAGCATGGAGAGATGGGGAAGAGCAGTGTTTCTCAGTCTTTTTTTTTTTTTTTTTTTTAAAGATTGTATTTATTTATTTGACAGAGAGAGACACAGTGAGAGAGGGAACACAAGCAGGGGAGTGGGAGAGGGAGAAGCAGGCTTCCCGCAGAGCAGGGAGCCCGATGCGGGGCTCGATCCCAGGACCCTGGGATCATGACCTGAGCCAAAGGCAGATGCTTAACGACTGAGCCACCCAGGTGCCCCTCTCAGTCTTTTTTTTAATTATTGCCCCCTAAGGAGCCTTTGTAGACATTTTATCCTAATCACCCACTCCAGGAAATTTTAATACCACAGACATACTGTATGTTTCTTCATGTACTGTGCCCTTTGAAGGCCACAAACCATTATACTAGCTAAAATATTTTTGGCCACTCCCACCCAGGGAATCAGTTTTTGTCCTCCTGGGGCAACATAGCCCCTGCTGAAATGCATGGGGTAGAGCACAGAGAAGTAAGAGAAGAAGTAGCCAGTAAGATAGGAGAAGAGCCAAGAGAGGGTGGTATAGTGAAGCCAAGAGAAGGAGTGTTAGAAGGAAGGAGATGGGGTATAGAATACTGGAGA